AAGGAAAGAAAAACAAGAGTAATACTGATTGTAATACAGAGATAGGCTCTATTTGTATGGGACTCTTCCCTCAAAACAAATAATTATCGATTGATACATAAAATGGAATAATAAAACAAATAAATAAATCTGTAATTGAAAAGCTTATCGTAAATACCAAAGTAGTCAGAGTTAAAAGGTCATTATTCCGAAGTATAAAACAACATTCCTATTATCGATACTGCTTTTCAAGAATCAATAAAACACCAAATATTATTATTTTTAATAGTAGTTGTACTTATTAATATTAATAATCAATAAGAAAAGACGAAGATTGGTTGAAAATATAGTTGTTCTTATTCTTCAGTTATTAAAGTGAGGAATTGATGAGTATGAAAAAAAAGAAGGCTTTTCAACAGGTTATTGCTTACAATGTTTACATTTTCTTAGATTTTGGTAATGTTCATACTAGAGAGAGGGGGGAGGCTTTCGGGCTGAACCCCCCCAAAAATGGTAAAGTATTATAACCATATTTAATGAAAAAAAACCATGTCTAAAAGTATTATTGCTCGTCTGATTACAGTTAATAGGATTTTAAGAATCACTTAGAGACCATTTCATATAGCTAATTAGTTTTTAAAAAATCCAAAAAAAAAATCTTTCAGACTGAAGGCCCCCCAAAACTAAATCCTGGATCCGTTAGTGGTTCATAAATAAGCATATTAATTATACTTTCATATTAAGTACAGAGTTTTTTCCTAATGATTTTTTAAAATGAAATACTAATGAGCAATTAAAGACTAAAATAAACAGCAACTAATGAAGTATTTTTATTAGGTAAATGATTGTTTTTCATTTCAAAACAAGAATAAATGTAACGTTCATAGCACTGATTCTGTCCCAGAACACTCAAGGTACAACCATGGCGTACAAAAAATATTTTTGTCTATATTTCCTGACATACAGCTAATTTAACGGTGAGCAATTTACATTTGTTTATTTTTTAATATTTTAAATTCCCATAGATAATAATTGATAAAATAATATGACAGAAATGATCCTCAACGAATGCCGTAATCGCTCAAGGAAACCGGTTATACCACACAGAGGTCAGGGTCAAGGTCATGTTGTTTTGGGGAAATATCCAAGATCCTAATTTATCAAAATTTTAAACGTATTATAAATATATGTATAATATATTATTATAAATAATTTTGTTTAATACATATGTTGTATGTATATTGTTGTTTGTTACAATAATGATCAATATATTATTATAAAATGTAATATATACACATATATACAAACATGTATATTAATTAATTTACATGCTTTACATTGACATATAATATCTGAAGTAAGAACTCATTTACATCCCAATTATTTTATTATATTATTTTTTCCCAAAAAATATTTTTGCCTCACTGTGTGCAGTTATACCCCTATTTTGATAAGTTTTTTACATTGTTGATGTGATATTTATGTATCATGAAGATCAGCATTTATGCAATCTTATATTATGATTAAATTAATTTTAATGATAATCACATGTACATATAAACGTCAAAACAAATGTGCCGTCAAAAGATTTCCAATATTTTGGACTCTATTCAGTAATTATATACTCAAAAAAACAAAAAAAACAAAAACACATAAACATGTGGATTTCCCCTTAGTAATGCACTATTGCGGAAAGGGGAAATACTGCTTTCAAACGAAGTTGAAGCGTCATTTAAATATTACGGAAAACAATTCAAAATAGTAATTGTTTCATAGAAAAACTTGAAGGAAATACCGCCATCACGTCATAGAACTCTTCACACTTGAACTAATAGAAGAACAATATCTTAATAAACAGAGAACAATTAATTTAAGCCATACAAAACATTACTATGGGCAGATATCCACAAAGATGGATTAACAAAACTAGACGCAGTTAGAATTATATTATTTTTAAAACTATTTATTAAAGAGCTCATTTGGATATATTAATTTTGGACTACTTATTACATATTACTTTATCAATTATATATACACACACATATACATATTTTTTTTTTATTATTATTTTTCTCTATGGTAACCCCAAAGAAAGAAAATTTATTAATGATTATTACGTGCTCCATGCCTATTGTAACTAGGCACACTACATGTAGCACATGTTACATTTTACAATTCAGAATATATGTAGATATTTACGATATTAGTTTTAAAAATTAATTAACTTTGTAAATAAATTATAGAAATAAAATTAACAGAATCACAAAATTCCAGTACAAAAATAAAATACAGCATAATACAAAATAAATGAAAAAAAAATAATAATAAAATAAAACAAAAGTTTTGTAATCACTAAACCAAATTCCTCTCATATCCGATCCCTTACAATCCAAAATCCTTAATGCTCCATACTTTGTCACAAATAAAATAATCCATAAAGACCTTAATGTTCCATATGTTTCCGATTTGGCCCAATCCAGATACCTATCCTTCCATAGTAAACTTCATAACCATCCGAATCCTCTTATTTCTGACGTTACTTCCTCTTCGATTCCTGATAATCCTCCGAGGCGTCTGAAAAGAAGATGGCCGAGTGATCTCCTTTTGTAGACATATTATTAAAGTACTACCAGTGAGTAGTTTCTCAACAAGCGTTTTCATGTGATTATATTCCTCTGTACACATTTACTTGATGTATTTATATTTAAAAAAATATGTAATGCATCGAATTGTCGTTCTGGAACCGTTTGATAACTATATTAACTACTGTTATTATGGAAGAAGATGTGAAGAAGTTTATGACACTGAAAATATTTGAATCGGAGTTTATAGGTTAGCAAAACACCATAATAAGATGTAATAATTTTAGGCCACATCATAGATTTAAATATTAACGAGTTCTATTGGAGCAGATATTGAATAGGAATCGAACCCGCAATGTTGAGAATCGGGCATTCTGGGACCCACGCTCCAACGTGCTCGGCCATCCCGTCCTCATTATTATTCAAGAGTGGTAAGCGAAAGTTGTGTGATGTGAACGCCACACCAGATTTTTTTTAAATGTATCAAAGAAACCGTTGTTTTCCTTCTGTATTTTCATCCCTTGGGGGACAAAAAGATCCCAGAATACATTACATTAGATGTTTACTATAAAGAATACCTGAGAACCCCTCTTATACACTTAACTAGCTCCGAAATAATGAACAGCTGATTGGACGAATACCAACCCAACAGACTCACTGACCCGTACGGAGGGCACGAGGACCTGCCAAAAGTTGGCAGCACTGGTTCGAAGGCTCGTCCGTTAGCCGTGGGAGCAGCCATTGTAGTGAACACCTTACGTCACATCCTTTTGTTCAAGGTGATATACTGCTTGTCTTATTCCCCCTTTGCTGGCTATTTAGCTCTCTATATTTGCTGATACATTCACAGGTATCTAATTTACAAACGGTAAATAAGATTTTGGGGGTGATCCTGGTGCGGAGGTCTTGACATAAATTTGCAATACTAGTATAAGTTTCTAAGTATTTCTAATTTTTATTCTTAAAACACTAAAAGTATAATCAGAGGCGGATCTACGGGAGGAGGGGGGATATCATAACATTTTCCTAGGGTGAAGCCCCACCTCCCCAAAGAAAATGTTACAACGTAACACTGTTTTATGGAAAAGACCATCTCTTAAAGTATTATTGTTCGTGTAATTATATTTAATAGGAGGTCAAGAATAACTTAAACACCATTTCATATAGGTAGTTAGTATCTTTCTTTTTTTTCCAAAATAATTATCGTTATATATATGAAAAAAAAAAAAAAAAGCTTTCAGCCTGAAGCCTCCTCCAAAATTAAGTACTGGATCCGCTAGTGAGTAAAAGCGATGTTAGGGAACATGTCCATTTGTATAAACAATGAATCATCAGAAGAAAGTCTGTACAATACACAATTTTTTTTTTCACACACATTTGGTGCAGTTTCATACTTTAATGACTATGTTGACGGATCAGTTTATTACTAAATTAATAAGCTAAGTCTATAGGGAAATATCTCTCATGTTGAATTATAGGTCTCTGCAATCCGAAAACTAATGATAATCCAGTTTCGTACACATTTGTACTAATAAGGGTGGTGTAAAAGATAAACCACTTGGATAAGAACTTCATCGCTACTGTGAGAATAACAACCATGAAAACTAAAATATATCCACAAAAGTTCCTTTCTATACCCGAGGAGTTTGAGGAGACTTGGAAATATTTTCCGTTTACCTTTTCAGTGAATTTTTATTTGTCTTAAACTATAATCAATACCAATATTTAAAATCATAACGAATGTATGATAAGTATCATATGATAACCGTGGAATCTTGCAGGCTTTCCGCAACGATTAAGATATATTTCGAAAAGAAGGAACAATACAAGGTTTTGATGTCCGCATCGAAATCATCAAAACACAATTAATACCTTTCGATTGTCATCGGTGATTTGATACCTTTTACTTTTTTAATGACATTTATTTATTTATTTGAGTGTTCGGCCATTTACACTTTATTCTCTGCAGTCTGGTGCAGTTCATTAGCTTTTATTGTATATTTCGATCGTTTTTAAAAATTGAATAAGCCTAGGGGGAGTCGTCAATGACATTTAAGTTTTAGTACGACTTTAATGATCTAAATTGTAAAGTATCAAATCTCCATGAAATTACCTTTGTTTTGAAATCTCACTTTTCATAATCAAAGCGTTAATTGTAAAAATTAATTATTATTATTGCAATATACATTTATTATTAATAATTGCAATGCATTCCGACATTTATATTCGTAAATAAATATAACAATTTATTGTTCATGAAAGTATCAATATGATTCGATTTATTACATTTTTAATTATGGTAAACAATTTGTAGCAGCCAATGGGGGTGATGGGGCTCACCTCTACTTCCATGGTAAAATAAAATAATATGTCTTCTTAAGCCTCTAAGGATGTGGATCTGTGGAAATCGGTAAGGTGGGTTCCTTTATACTGCCTAGGATGTATTGTAAGGAGATTGTGAGTTGGAATTTTAATAATAGGAATATCATTTAAGTGGTGGGACTCACTAGCGGATCCAGGATTTAATTTTGGGGGAGGCTTCAGCCCGAAGCCTTTTTTTTTTTTTCATAAAAATAACGATAATTACTTTGGAAAAACAGAAAGAAACTAACTACCTATATGAAATGGTGTTTAAGTGATTCGTTAAGTCCTTTTAAATGTAATTATACGAACAATAATACTTTAAGACGTAATTTTTAAATTTTTTTCCATAAAAAATGGTTATATTTTTCCATTTTGGGGAGGAGCTTCAGCCCGAAGCCTTTTTTTTTTTTTTTTATAAAAATAACGATAATTACTTTGGAAAAACAGAAAGAAACTAACTACCTATATGAAATGGTGTTTACGTGATTCGTTAAGTCCTTTTAAATGTAATTATACGAACAATAATACTTTAAGAGGTATTTTTTAATTTTTTTTTCCATAAAAAATGGTTATATTTTTCCATTTGGGGGGGGGGGGCTTCAGCCCGAAAGCCTCCCCTCCCTCCGTAGATCCGCCCGCAGTGGGACTCAAATGTTGTTTGTCCTATTCCAGTTGGTTAATAGTCAGTTTAATCTGAGGATTTAGGCATTTGCTTCTTTATGGTCGTGAAGAGGCGATTTTTCGTGTTGTGTGATATCAAAAAATTTGATATGCCTGCGTGCAATTAAGTCTATTACTTTCAATATTTAGAGGGTCTTTGGGAAAATAATGTTGCTATTTAACAAATATATTTGGTATATTATGTTTTATTTTTTAAACGGAAATACAACTTTTTTTAAAAAATACAAGTTTATACAAGTTTTTTTCAAGTAAGTATACTAAATATTAAATAAATATATACCCATTAGAAGACGGGTGACAAAAAGATAAAACATTTCTGCCCAAAAGATAAGATGTATTAGGAAAATGAAGAGGGACCATTTAAGAAAAGTCAAAGAGGTCATTCTAAAAAATGGGGAACACATGAGGCTTTTCTGACTGCCACTCAGGTTCAAGTATTACAATGAAAACTCACATCTCTTTTATCGATAGCTCTTACAATATGAGTGTTGAGTTTACTATTGGAAAACTTACGTCATTAGAACGTGTACACATTGAACTTATCACTAAGCAAAAGCAAATTTACATTAATCATTTCTAGGAACTGTTATCTAAACAATATTAAACAAATCTTGCCATCTACTCGATGCGCAAAATCTTCACTATGTATAAAGTATATGTCCCTTTTTCGCCTTTCAGTAGCGATGGATTTTGATCAATCCCAAATTAATGCTCAAATTCCATCACTTTAATTAAGTCATTAAAACAAATTGGGAGGTTTTAAAGTCAACCAATCGAGACGGGATAAATTCTTTTTTAAAAATTTCGAGATGGCCAATAAGGCCCGGAATAGTCCCGAATGAACTTTCGGGTACAACGTTTTAAATACTAAAAATGTTCCTTTTTTTTCCCAAATAAATCGTAATTCTTACGGAAAATAACTCCAGAGTTGCTAAAGGATACTTATTACATGTTTAGATTTAAAAAATTAAAATTTTGCTTTTTATGTTAAGTCTTCGACGAACTAAAAATATATTGAAAAGGTAAATGAAGGATAATAGTTCTGTGACCCCATAAGTATTGGATAATATAGAAAGAATAAGAATTTATATAATATATAATACATCCAGGTATGGGTTCTATACTCTTGGGTAATATACTTCTATATCACATTATTAGTGAGGGAATTACACTTCTGGAATATTTTTCAATGGGACAAGCTATAATCACTTTAAATAAATTGTTAATTTAAATTTTGGGTGTTGAATAAACTAACTAAAAAGCGGACCCAGGCTTTAATTTTGGAGGATAGGAGCTTCAGCCCGAAAGTTTTATATATATATATATATATATATATATATATATATATATATATATATATTTATGTATGTAAATATAACGATAATTACTTCGGAAGAAAAACAAAGAAACTATATGAAATGGTGTTTAAGTGATTCTTGAAGTACTATTAAATGTTATTATACGGACAATAATACTTTTAGAGATAATTTTTTTTCATTAGAAATGGTTATATTTTACCATTTTGGGGGAGAGGGGAGGGGGCTTTAGCCCGAAAGTCCCTCCCTCCCCCATAAATTCACTATATGGATTAACTTGATAAAAATATATTTACATGTTCCGCTGATGTCCCTTACACCTAGAATGCATTAAATGTGTGAGTTTTCAGGAGCATACTAGTCTACGATAATTTGCGTAAAACCTCGTAGTACAAAATGGTGCGAAAAAATTCAAGCGCGATAAAATTAATGGAATGGTTTTCAAGAAGGAGTCGTAAGAAATCGTCAATGGAAATCACCAGTTACGGGCGGTAGAAGAACGTTAACGTCAACATAGGAAATAAAAACTGAATTTTTTTTTTTAATGTCATACTCACAATTTTCATCAGGATTTTATATTTATTTTATAATCACTTAAAGTTACTTTAAGAATAGAATAACACTAGTTTAGTTTTTAATAAAATTACTTTAACGGTTAATATAAATATTGTCCAGTTATTAAAGTCAAATTAACTGATTTTTATTCATTTATATTTATATTATTAATAAATTAATATTTACAAAAATGTACTTCGCAAATTGTCTGTTAGTAATATTTTTTATTGACGTATTGTTTACATCTTACGGTGAACTGGTTTGTTATTACTAAGCAAGTGAAGGAGGAAAGGATTGAAAAGAAAATTTAGAGGATTGACGAAGAGATTGGTAAAGAATTTCAAGAGAGGAGATATCATGAATAATAAAGGATTTGCTAAAGGAAGGAAGTTCATTTAGGAGGATAGGTTAACATATAATCAATGAGCTTATAGAAGGAGGAGGATAGAAGAGTGAGAAAATCAAGGGCGTACGGAGTTTTTTTTTAGTGTTTTAAGGACTTGGAGAAAAAAATGACATTAAGGAGGTATGGCCGACCAAATGCAGGATAAAGCCACTTGAACTCGACACACAAAACGTGACATTTCAAAATTCTCTTCAGCAGAACACGATTTTAGTAAAGGAATCTTGTTGTCGTAGCTTGTATTGAATTACCTCGAAGTATATAGAATTATTGAGGTTAATTTCGTTTCATTTAGGAAAAAATAAACTTTGCTCTATAACTCCAGGCGGGCAGTCAGTTGGGACAGGAAGATGCTGGAAGGCAGTGATCGGGGGAGGAGGAGCGAAGAGCGAAGAGCTAGCGGGTCGAGGAGGCGATGACCCCGTCGAGTACGGCCGCTCCATTCACAACTCCACTTACGTAACGAAAACAGTCTCTCTCTCTCTTTCCCTCTCTATCGCTCTCTCTCACTCCCTCTCCTCTAGCCGATTTGCATAATATTCAAAACAAAATGCGACCAGTCTTCTTTAAATATGGCTTCCCATTTGTCTTCCCTGCTCCTCCAAGATAAGCCATGGTTCCATTTGTACGGATAATCTAGCGTACCGTTTGTCAAGAGGTAGCGAGATAACGTGAGGGATCGCTCTACAGCAGATTCCTTAAAAGGCTTCCATTTACTAACAACATATAATAATAATAATAAAATATATATATATTTTATAAAAGATTATAAAACTCGACAGGAGACAGAAAATATTAGATTATAATTTGAGAAATATAACCTCATATCTTTTTGTCTCTGCAAATTATATGTGTTCGTATGTCATGGAGAAATGTCATCTTGTTTTTCTTCTGGCCTGATGACACCTGAATAGACGTTGACGGGTTGTTTCGTTGTTTAGCCGCATTTCAGAGACACGAGGCTGTGTGGTTGAACTTATCCGATTATAAACCACCATATAAAAATATTTTGGCATTCTTTTTTTTAAGACAGGCAATCCAATTACTGCTATATATCTCGTTCTGTTAGAGTAAGGCTTTAAAATAAAATAAAAATAGAAATTTTTCGAAATTGTGATGAAACTATTTCATTAAATACCTCTTAATTTTCCATCTTCGTTATGTAATACACGATTATGGATAATGTTGATATCAAGAATGATACTTCAAGAAGGCATATTTTTTTTTTTTTTTTTTTTTTTATTGAAATAGGCCAAAATAATTTGAAGAGCTCCAGACCAAAACGTCGTTTCAGCGTTTTCCTGGCAAAATCATTTAGCAATGACATTGTAAATTATTCTGACAAGGAATCTAAGTATGAAATATTTTGGATCATATTGCTACTAGTCAAAACAATTTCAATTTTGTAATTCATCATAGTTTGTAATTTATTTTTCATTTTATTTTATTCAATAAATTTCACATTTTTCAATAACAAATAAAATTTATTTAATTATAATAAATATAAGAACTTATATTTATTTTTATTTTACAAGTATTAAGTTATTTCATATTTTAAGTAAATTATTTTGTTTTTACATCAGCTCTGATTCGAACCTAATAAGAAAACAATTTTACAGAAGCGACCTCAATTAATTTTAAACGGCCCGTTGCCGGCTTGCGATGGAATTTCCACAGAAGGGAGCTATCCAATAAAAGTTAAACGGAGTTTAAAATCCATTTACTAACGCTTTTAATGAAAACGATGGAAAATCGTATTTAAACCATACATCCGACCAATGGAGATTAAACTGCGTTTAACAGTTTTTCCTTTAGATAAATATAATATTTATAAGCGTAAATGGCATAATTCGTTTAACTATTATCTGTAACAAAACTGGCCAAAGCAAATGAAGAAATAAGAATAAAAAAAGTCAACATGTGGTTAACATTCTAAAGGTTAAACCAAAGACAGGAAACGGTTATGGTGAGGGTGTAGCATGGCCGACTCCACCCTCAACCGCAGATGTTCCTTGGTGCTTGTAGCTTCTCTTGCTATAGAGATACTACCTTGATCCAAGTATTTATAATTGAGATTCGAAAGTATTTAAACATATGCATACACACAACAATTGCATAAATTAAATTTAATGTTAAACTATTTATTAATTTTCAAATATCTTTACGTAATTCAATGAAGAATTAACCTAAAAAGTCTTTAATGACGCTCACGCTTATATTGTAGGAACATTCTTGCCAATTAAGCACTAAAAATCGCGTCTTTGGAAACATTGCCGAAAAGTACAACACAAAACAACAGATCTCAAGAACGATGGATTTTGACAAACGAAGTTTTTCATAAGAAAAGTGATGAATCCCAACCACGATCCTTAAATTCGTACAACTTCTAGAAAAGTCGTTGATAAAAGCAGGCTTTAAATGTTCGATATTTTGAGGGTCGAAAACATTTCGAAGTGAACATTAACCCGATAAAGTTCATTCTTTTCGAGGCAAATCGCAATTTTTGCCGAAAGTATCTTAACTACAACGGTTGCCATGGGGTACTTACCACACATATTTTAGGGTTTTAACAATTAAAAAACTGAAAATCTATTGAAAAGTAAACAGATTAGTTTTTTCCGAATATTATGGATAGAATTTTTAACAAAAATAAACGTTTTAATTTATTTGGTTGCAAATATCACCATAGCGATGTTAAAATTCATATACAAGTCTGGCTTATTTTATCCAATTTTAATACGTGAGGGAATAGAAACCGAACTACGAAGAGCTTTTTTTGCTAACCCAATACGTCTCGATGCAAGGAGTACCCAGAAGGGGAGTAAATGCCTTAATTGTGGCGTCAAAATTTTTGAGAGAGTGGGTTTTGAAATTTTTAGGTTGTAGGAGGGAATATTTCAATTATGAATTTTCGAAATGAAAAGTTTCAAACCGGTGGACAATAGGAAAACATGAAACAGAACGCAGAAGTTGTATTTGAATACGACCTACGATTTTGAAATTCTGTTTTCAGGCGGGAGAAGTTCATGTGCCACTGAACTTAGAGTAAAATACTGTCTTAATGAGTAAAATACTGTGTCATAATTAGTTTACGAATATCTAAATATTATTGCTCAACTGAAGACATATTTTCGTTTAGTGCAAGTTAGTTGGTTATTTATTTATTAAATGGAATTTATATAATATGTTTTCCAAACATCGTTAATTCTTCAAATATATTACAGAGACTAAGAAGGGTAGAAATTTAATGCTACAGTTCTAGCACAAATACACAAGTTTGCACAAATACAATATTCTTTAATGCCAAGCATTAAAAATAAAATCCTAAGTAAAATGTTTTTCATAGAAAATACAACGTATGAGATGATCAAAGCTATCCCATCATGAACGATGAAACAATCGAAGAATCCAAGAATCGATTTCCGGAGGGAAGAAGTTTGTTTTTTTAATAGGAACGAGATCCATCCTGACTCACGAAAGAACAAAGAAGCCATCAGAATAAAGAAACGTGCCTAAGTTATATCCGGTATAACAGTTGTGACGTAATCATTGCGAGCTTTACCGAGATTAATGATTGATAAAACATAATGTAGACTACAACTATGTATTTTTAATTTTAGCCTGCTCTAGTGAGTGATCAATTCGATGCTTACGATTCATCGAGAATAGAATATTTCTCACAAGCATACTGATAAATAATATGAGGGCCCTAGACGCGAAGGGGTAAAAGGTATTTTTTGAAAACATAGTGTTAAGTGCATGGTTCATCTGGAAATTTGTCAATCTGCTTCGTACTCAAGATAATTACCTAGAGGTTAAGTACCTACGTATTATCATTTAATTATTGATTATTCGTTGAAAAATAAACTGATAGCGTTACGTTAATGTATTGAATAATTCATAATTCCATAATTATAAGTCATATTCCCTTTGCGATAATAAAATCATGCCGATTTTGAGAAAGCAATGCCACATTTCGGTTTTTTAAAACATAATAGAGTTTTTCGATAAGATTCACTTTTATATTAAAGCGTATCATCTAATAATCGATTACCCATATCTCAAATTTAAAAAAAAAAATAACATAATCATTCATGACTATTATTATACAGCTGTATCACAGTATGACTTTAAAATTAGCTACTGACCATGTCCGGTAATGTTCTCAGCAGGAAAAACCACATCTAACGGAGTCATAGCCCAGCGATGAGATCATTCCACATATCGAGAAAAATAAATTAACCGTCATTAGGCCGAGGATGAGGAGTTGGAACTTGGATAAGAAAGGAAGATTGCCTCCTCAGGTCCGTTTATAAAAAGTTAAACATGAGTTGTACCTTCGGCGGCGAAGGAAGCACGCCGGATTCCTCAGCGGGATTCGTGAAAGTATTCCAGGATCATCTATCATTATGATAAGCACACCCCACCTCAACCGTATCCTTTCTTACAATCTATTCTTAATAATCCTCCTCATGGTTGGGATGTTTGGTGGACTGGACGAATATTTGGTCATGTCACGAAGGATATGTAAAAAGTATATATACTATTTTATTATAGTATTTTAATAAAAAATTAAAATATAATTTAAAAAAAATGAATTTGCACCAATAGTATAAAAAGTTCTTAATTGATAATAAAAAAATAATGAAAAATTGATCATTAACTCAAATGGAATAATTATATATTTGCCGCTGCTTCCACTGATTGAAAATGGATGATTTTTGAATTATTAGCAAGGATGCCCATCTCCCAACAAGGTCGATGGTGTGTATCCCTCCTTTAAACAAATTTTATTTACGCTCTCCTTTTCTAAAACAGTGCAAGAGAAAGTAGAACATGAAAATCTCAATCTCGCTGTTTCCTTGCCGTTCCTCCAAATCGAAACTCCACAAAAATTTGTTTCCTACTTAAATTCTGATGAACCCCACCAAAATTCAAAAACCCGCTCGAATATTCCTCTCTGAAAATTCAAAACACTTCCAGTATATAACTCCCTGAAAATTTTTAACTCGTCAGAATAAACCTCCGTCGAAAATTCAAGACCCCGTAAAAATGTGCTCCCCTCCTAAAACTTTTTAAGGCCCAACTTGCACAATACAATCCTCTTTATGTGCCCCTATGGTCCTGTACCTCTAGCTATACTCTTTTAGAATTCATGAGTGTCTTCATAAAAAGACGGGCATATGTCATTTTCAGATAGCGGAGAAAAAGTCAATTTCAATTTTTGTTTAATAGGTTGAACCTAAACTGTTTTTGATGATTTTATTTATGAATGTTCAATTTGAATAATGTAATAAAATTTTTAAAATTGGGCTAAATTGAAGCTATATTACAGAAAATTAGCCTTTTCTCAACTTTTTATAAATTACAGATTTATTCCTTTGATATGAGGTCAATCATTTAAATCCTTTATCTATCCTATTCTTCAATCGAATTTTTTGTATTTTTTTTTTTTTAATGACTGGTAAACTTTTTCTGCTTATTTCCATTTTAATGTAACCTCCTCTTTCCTTGTTTGATAGAGTTGATATACATTT